ATGGTGCTTAGCGTTCACAGTACTCTACTCCACACATAAACTTTGTTCAAAAGCTCATGTTTTTTACCACGGTAAAGCTTTTAAGAGACTGATTTTCATGACGTGAAAAATATATGAAATTATATTCATCCATACTTAAAGCTTTACTGGAGCACGGGCTTGCCCATTCATTTTCCTGATGGCTGTTTGCAAGCCCCAATGTCAGTAAGGAGTAGTTGCAGCTGAGACATGGGGCCTGCAAAGCCTAAAATATTTACTGCCCAGCCCTCTGCAGGAACCGCGTGTGCATCCCTGCTCTAAACCACGGTGGATGCTTCTCAACAATAATTTTGTTTGTGGAGGGGGTGGAGATGGGCCTGATCCAAAAATACAGAGGCCTTGGCTCCAGCTCTGGATGCATGGCTTACTCATTTTGGGACCTCACTTCCTTATCAGTAAAATTTGTCTAATGTCCATTTGTCAAAGTTGCTGTGATGGTCACTGAGCTAAGATACTTCGTAACACTAAGAGCCTATGTTCATCACGAGTTTTCTGGAGCCCGTGGGGCCACCACTGCCCACACACACTGCCTCAGCCTTGGAAGGAAGTGGTGCTCAGTGCCCACTCGAGAGAAACATGCTTTTGCCCAGGGCCAAAGCTGGCAGTCTCCGCAGACATGGCTGCTCAGTCAGTGAAGCCTGTGGATGCCTCCAGGAATCACCTGAGGCTCAGTGGGTGTCAGAGGGGGTGGGATGCACCTGGGGGTCCCGGCTATGGCTTCTCAGCTCCATGGAGCTGCGCAGGCCAGGAGCACCCAGGGAGAGCCTGACTCCCAGACGCCAGGTTCTGGAAAACGTGCGGGGTGCCTATGTGGCCCCCACCCGTCTCATCCTTCTGCTCATAGCTCTGAATTTCAGAGTCCTTCCTTGTGGCTCACCCTGGGCACCCCAAATGCAGCTTGCTCATATCTCAACTTGGCCTTTCCCCCAGCCCAGGCCCCCCCTGTACCCTTCCCCTAATGCCCAAACCAGAGACCAACAGGGAATGGGGGTCGCCTGCCCCTCCAGCAACCTGCACCCACTCAATAGCTGTGTTCTGGCTACCCCCAAGCATCACTGGATGTCACCCCCCACCACTCTGGTCCAAGCCCTCATGGCTGAAGCCCTGTGGCCGGAGGGATGGACAGCTTGCATTGACCAGCCCAGCACTAACTGCCCACCAGTATGGACAGCTTGCGTTGACCAGCCCAGCACTAACTGCCCACCAGTAGAGCAGGGTGTCAGCTTTGGAGGCAGGTGTGTCGTATGGCATTTTAGGGGTCCCACGGACTCAGCAGAGACTGGGGAAGGCTTAGCCGAGGAGTGGCCATTGAGAAGGACGGATAAGGAGGGGAGCTCTCAGACATGGAGAAACTGCCCAGCCACCAAGACAAGACAGTCCCGATTCTTAGCTGAATGGTGACAGAGAGCTGGCTGTGCTTGGGACATATTGGCAAGAGCTTCACATCTCTCAGTTCTTCAACCCGCCAGTCACAAGAAGCAGGTACCATAATCACCCCATACACACTTCCACACGAGACTGTGGGAGCCCTGACCTACCCTCCTAGGGCTCATTCCTCCCCCGGCCTGTACCCTTTCCTGAAGGTAGCCGGTATCCTGGAGCTCCTTCCTGCACATGTCCTGATTCTTTCATCCTATATGCGGATATCTCAAACAACGTATGATGCTGTGTGTGTGTCCTTAGACCTTTTATAAATGATAGCATACCATACATGTCCTTCCACGACCTGCTGTTCTCACCCAATATAACATTGTAAGATTTATCCATGTTTGATTCGTGTTCATCCACATAGCTCTGCCGTTTCTCACTGCTTTATAATCCCATTGAATATCCTCTCCTAGGAATGGAGGTTAATGGTAGCTTTATTTTTTAAAAAGTTTAACCACGGCCATTCAGGCATATAGTTCTAAGATGAAGTAGTGAAGATGAGTCTATTCTGAAGAGCAACGGTGGCTTCCCACCACTGCTGGGTGGCAGCAAGTGTCTGCTGGTGGTTCCACCTCATTCTCTTGCCATTTCCTGACTTGACCCCTTCAGGCCCTGACTGTTGATTTCAAGGTACAAAGCTTTGCACCATCCAATGTAAGTTACCTTTGTCATTTTAAGAACTTTTCTAATACCTTTAGATCATGCTCCAGAACTATCCCAGCAGCTCTTTAATTTATGTAACTTATTTTATGTAATAAATTCTATAGAGCCCCCATATAAAATTGTTTTTACTCCCCAAAATTAATCCATAAACAATATTCAAGGAGCAATACATAACGTAGCAAGTGACTTTCTCTGCTTCCCTCCCCTTTTCCCAGTCTTCAGTCAGCATTTTTGATATCTGTCCTTCCAGATTTTTCCTTGATGCTCAAAAATATATGAGGTTAGAATTTGGCTTCTCCTCTTCCTCCTCCCTTCCCTCTGCCACCATGAAAAAACAGAATGTTTCTGGGTTTGACTCTATTGCTTGCTCTTACCCTTAACCATGTATCTTGGACAACTTTACATATAAGTAACTACAAATCTAACTGCCTTTTTAATGTCTGCATAGCATTGCACAGTATGGCATCAACGTCACCAGGTGTGTTGGCTTATGCCTTAATACCGACACTTTGGGAGGCTGAGGCAGGAGGATTGCTTGAGACCAGGAGTTGGAGATCAGCCTGGGCAACCACTTGCTAGCTGTATCCACTTGGGCTAACCACTGTTAGACACTCAACACTCTTTGTAGAGACCCTATCTCTCTACAAAATAAAAAATAAAAATGAAAAATTAGCTGGGTGTAGTAGCACATGCCTATCAGTTCTAGCTACTCAGAAGGCTGAGGCAGGAGGATCACTTGAGCTGAGGACCTCAGGGTTACACTGAGCCATAATTGTGCCATTGCACTCCAACCTGAGTGACAGAGCAAGACCCTGTCTTTAATAGGTATGTGTGTGTATAATATATAGACATGTATATTATTATACATACATCTTCCTGGTCACTGCAATGTTTTTGTCTTATAAACAATATTGCAGTGACTGTTCTTGCACATATAGATGTGGCGGATGAGTATACCTGAAAGAGTGTCTGTAGATGTATGAATACATCATAGTAAGTATATATGTTGTATACTTCAGGGTAGAAGGTGTAGTCGCCTCTTCACCTTTTTTTCTCGAAAATAATCACTTTTTGAAGTGATTGTCTTGGGCAGAGCTGCTTTCTAACAGAGGGTAAATTTCGAGAACCCGTTACCTTCAAGAAAGATTAGCAACTAAAGATTTACTAAGTTCAGGAAGAGTTGAATGGGTGCTGTGCCTCATGCCTGTGATCCCAGTAATGTGGGAGGATCACTTGAGCCTGGGAGATGGAGGCTGCAGTGAGCTGTGATTTCACCACTGCACTCCAGTCTAGGCAGTGGAGCAAGACCCTGACCAAAGTTTAGGCAAATCTCAATTTCTTAGCTGAGCTTTTAAAGCCTCCAGTTCTGACCATTTACAACTCTTTTCTTCTCTTGACCAATATGTAAGTCAGTTCCTTACTTTCCTGGAGACATTGCTGCATCCCCATCCCTTTTTTTGTGCTGCTTCTTGTATCATCTCTGCATTTTACCCTCTGACGTTTTACCTTCTTTCCAAGGAGCCAGTTGCCATATGCCCTCTTTTCTATTTCTAGGACACATGGCAAGCTCATTCCTGCCTCAGAGCCCTGTTATCTCTGCCTGGAGCTCCTCCCCTGGATCAGTGATTCTCAATCCTGAATAACCATTAGAATCCCCTGGAGAGTTTTTTAAAAGTCTGATACCTGGGCCAAACCACAGGCCAATCCAGTCAGAATCTCGGGGTCCCAGGTATCAGTAAGCTCTCCAGGGGATTCTGGCAAAATCCAGTGATGTAGATCTTCCTATGCCCAGCTCCTTCTCATCATTCAGGTCTCAACTGAAATGTCACCTCCTCAGAGTTGCCCTCCCTGACTGCCCCAGCTAAAATATGTGCCTTTTTGTTACAGCTCTCTGTTTTATAATATTTCTGTCATCTATCACACCTTTTGACTACCTTGGTTCTTTATTTACTCATGTATCTGTTCCTGCCCCAGTATAGGCACCCCAGGAACTTAGGGATATACTACCCTGCATGACAGTGTCCCCAGAGCCTTGAAAAAACTTCAGACTTAGGAGCCAAGACTTAGGAGTGCTGGGTCCAGCATTTACTAGCTGTGTATCATTGAGCAATTTATGAAACTTCTCTGTGCCTTAATTTCCTGTTCTGGAAAATAAGGATTATCATACCTACTTTCTATAGTTATATAAGAATTAAGTGAGCAAATACAGGTAAACACAGAACAGTCCTTGGTACAAAGTAAGCACCCAATAGTGTTAGATATTGTTCTTTTAATATCTTTTTTTTTTTTTTTTGAGTCAGAGTCTTACTTTGTCACCAGTACTGGAGTCCAATGGGCACAATCTCAGCTCACTGCTGCCTCCACCTCCTGTGTTCAAGTGATTCGCATGCCTCAGCCTTCTAAGTAGCTGGACTTAAAGGTGCCCACTGCCATGCCCACCTAATTTTTGTATTTTTAGTAGAGATGGGGTTTTACCATGTTGGCCAGGCTGGTCTCAAACTCCTGACCTCTGGTGATCCACCCACCTCAGCCTCCCAAAGTGCTGAGATCACAGGTGTGAGCCATCCCACCCAGCCTATTATTTTAATATCTATCATGAATGATATATTACAATTCCTGCCCTGTCCTCCCTGCCTACTTCTCTGCTTTATATCCAATGAGCTTAGCACCATTTGCATCATTTGTTTGGCATTCCATTTATTTTGCTTATTTCTTGTCTGTCTGCTCCCCAGACTGTCAGCTCTATGAAGGCAGGAATTGTTTTGTTCACTGTTATGTCCCCAGTGCCTAGCACGGTGCCTGGCACATAGCAGACACCAGTATGAATACCCAGCTCCTCACCTGTTCTCCTGTCTCTCCCCACTCCCCAGGATTACCTCACAGACCTCATCACCAACGACAGCGTGAGCTTCTTCCGCACATCCAAGAAGATGTACCCGCACAGGCCGGTCCTCATGGTCATCAGCCATGCAGCGCCCCACGGCCCCGAAGATTCAGCCCCACAGTATTCATGCCTCTTCCCCAACGCATCTCAGCACATGTAAGCCTTAGCACTCTGCCTGCCAGGGGTTCTGCTAAGCACGAAGCGGGAGAGGGAGGCCTTAGTAACGGTAATGTCACCACAGTGACTTAGCTATGCTTTCTTTCTAATCCTCCTGGTTTAAAGACCCCAAGCACACACTGCTTGTCCATGGTGAAACTGGGATACAACTCCAGACAGCCTGGCCAGCAGACCAAGAGAGTTTTTAACTTGGGATACATGGCCTCCCACCAAGATGTCTGTGGATGGAACTGTGAGGAACAGGTTTCCTTTTAATGCCATGTGTATTTTATTTCAGACACCTAAAAACATTCTTTTGAGGAGGGAGGGGGTCTATAGCTGTACCAGACTATCTGCCACCATTTATTGAGCCGTGGGCTCTGTAGAAGTTGCTGTGCTAAGCCCGTCACATCGTGTCCAGTTCTGGAATACTCATCATGGGCCTTGGGGTGCCGGTTATCTATTGCCGTGTAACAAATCACCCCAGAACCTAGCAGCTTAAAGTAACAAACACGAATTATCGCACAGTGCCTGTGAGTCAGGATTCTGGGGGTGGCTCTTCTGAGACTCTGGCCCAGGATCTCCTGAGGTTGCAATCAAGGTGTCAGCTGGGGCTGCAGTCACCTGAGGGTTGACCGGGGCTCAGTCCCATGGCTGCACCTGGCCACATGGGCCTCTGTCCATAGGGCTGTTTGAGTGTCCTCACCTGATAGCTGGCCTCGCCCAGAGCAAATGATCAGAGCGTGAGGCCAAGAAGGAAGCCAGTCACTTTTACAGCCTAAGCTCGGAAGTGGCACCTTCGCTCCGCCATGTTCGGTTGGTCACCCAGACCAGTCCTCCTACAGTGTGTGGTTCCACACAAGGGTGTGAAGGCCAGGAAGTAGGGATCATTGAGAGCCATCTCGGAGGCTGCCTGTCACACTTGCTGTTCCCATTTTACAGATGAGGAAACTGAGGCACAGAGAGGTGAGGTGACTTACCTGAGGTCACCCAGCTCTAAGTGGCAGAGCCAAGATTCCAGTCCAGTCCCCTCTTCCACTTCACATGTCTCTGCCCACCCCTGCAGTTCTCCATCCAGCTGGCTGGGGAACTTCCCTGGAAAGTTCTGCTTCTCTACCTCACCCCACCCCCTGCTTAGCAGTGACTCCGAAGCCCTTGCTCTGACATTCTGGGGCCACAAGGATGGGGTGGTTTGGAACCTGCCTGAATATTCAGGGTGTTTAGCTTCATTACAGTCAGAATACATTGCCCTCCTCAAGCCCCTCCTGTAATTACTTTTTGACAACAGTCAAAGCAGCTCAGAGACCGAAGGCACTATGTTCACCTCCACATCCCTTGGTCTCTGGGGAGGAGGTTTTGACAGATGATGAGCGGGGTCCCAGGGGCTGCAGCATTGCCGCTGTGCACATCTGACTGTCTGGCTCCCTCTCCAGATCCAAGCCTACTCCTCTCCACCCTAGAAGGCCAGCCTCCCCACCCCCACTTACAGCTCATCCCAGCAGGGGGTGGAGGCCACTCAACCCCATCTAAGGGAGAAGCCGTGGGTGGGGGAGGGACGCTTTGCTTCGGCAGCATCTCCTTTAACAGAGGTGCCCGCTTCACCCCAAGCAGCAGTGAGCAGCACCGGAATTTTGTGATGAAATTGTTTGACATTGCCTGCTGGTTTATTTTCCCTTTGAAATGAAAATTACAGAAATTGGAAATGAGCGCTGTCTGCTCTTACGTGAAGCCCCCTTTGCCTTATTAGGGGCATGTTTGGAAGGCTCTCTTTTCTCTGGGGTATAATCATTTCCAACAGAAACCAAAAAGGAGAGTTCTGCAGCTGGGATGCTTAATGATGACAGTCAGGAAGGGGTGAAGAGGGCCCGGACGCAGTTAGAGCACTAGAGCTTTCTGTCGGGGTCTCCTATCCCGTCTCTCCCCTAGAAAGCCAGCCTGTGGACTGTGGCAAAAGCTGGTAGATGGTGGCACCATCCATCCCACAGACCTCAGGGCCCTGCACCATTCCCACCCTCCCACACACACACAGTAACATACATGCAGACACACACAAAGATGTGCAAATACAGACACAAGCACACAGGGACATGCCACACAAACACACACACAAGGAAACACAAGCAGCCTGGGCAACATAGTGGGGCTGTCTCTACCGAAAATTGTGGGGTCCAGTCCTGCATGGTTCTGTGAGCCCCTCCCAGCTGGTGCAGAGAAAAGAAATTGTAGCAATAAAAGGCACAAAACACAGAGATCGAGAAAAGAGTTTGGGCCCAGGGGGTCCAGTGCTACCCAATGCCGGGAAGCTGTCACTCTTACTTGAGTTGCAAATCCAGGGGCAGGGTAGGTAGGGCATGGCCTTGGTGGTCAGAGACTGGGGGCAGGGTACATAGGGCATGGCAGTGATAGGGTCAAGTACATCACATGTCATTCAGGTAGGGGCTCAGGAATTTCTGGCACGGGAAGTGAAGTAAGGAGCATAGTGCATCAGCACCTTTTCCATACGTATCAAAAAAGAACTAAAACATTAAGATTTATATTACTATTACTGATTATCTTTTCTAAGACAAAAGGAACCAGGTGCAGAAGCGGAACATGAGAGTAGACATGGAACGTGAGCACTGAAGCACAGCACCACACAGAGACGGTCAACCCCCGAGGTCTGCGGGCCTCCCTGACAGCCAGCAGGCCTTGCCACAAGAGCTTAGAGAAGCAGAGTTTCCTCCTAACTCCTTCGGGGAAGGAGACGTCTCAGTCATTTTGGACAGCTCCTTCCCTAACTGCCTCAACAGCGGGCGCTTTCCAAGGGCTTGGCGCTGCCGCACAGCCAAGGCGCCCTCCAGCAGCCCTTACGCAGGCCTGGCAGAGGGCTTAGAGCATCTTGCCTTAGTGTCATTCATTTCACCGTGTCATCCCAGGTCCACACTTCTGACCTGAGAGGCATTAGTAAAAGAATTAAGATCCCCATGAATACTAACTACTGCGGTTATATTTCTAGTTACTTTCTTCTCCATTATTTACATGGAAATAGGCTGAGGCTTTTTGCTTCTGCCTCAGGTCTAATGGGGTCTTTTCCCTACAGAAAATTTAAAATTAGCCAGGTGCACGCCTGGGGTCCCAGCTACTGGAAAGGCTGAGGTGGATCACTTGAGCCCGGGAAGTTGAGGCTGCAGTGAGCTAACATTGTACCGCTGCACTACAGCCTGGGTAACAGAGTAAGACCGTGTCTCTTAAAAAACAAAAGAAACACACCTGCAGGCACACACACAAAAATACACAGTTACAGATATACACAACACACATACAAACATGCAAACAGATATAGGCAGAGACACAGAGATACACACAGACATGCCCACAGACACCCCACCAGCCCTCCAAGCTTCCCGTCGAAGTGCGCTGATTGTGGCTTCAAGGGATGTCAGGGCTGCTGCTGACGGCCCCAGACACGTGGTGGAGGAGGCTGTGAGGACACCACCCTCTTCCTGCTGTTCGCCCCAGCGGAAAGGAAAGGGGATGTTCTCCTTCACGCCCTTTTGTGAACCCACCAGACATTCCTCGGATGCTGGAGGAGGTGAGGTTTTCAGATCTTTGTTGAACAGGCAGCTGGGCCCATGGGAACATGCCCGCATCCTCCCTGGGGGAGCCTGGCTTGACCCAGGCAACCTCCAAGCTGGCATCGGCCCCAAGCACCACCCGGCTCTGCTGCCTCCTGGCCTCGGTGTCCCCCAAATCGCTCTCTCTGAGCCTGGGCTGCAGAAATCATCACGCTCCGAACAAACTCACCCCTCACTGTTCTCGGGGGCCGACCTTAGCCTCACTTCTCATGGGTTCAGGGATGATTGCTGGAAATTACATCCTGGAATCCGGGCCCTTGGGCCTGCGGGAACAATTTTCCCACCCGTTGCGAGGCTCTGAGAGCATCTCTGTCCGACTGCTGCCCCCAGCAGCCCCCAGTCAGTTCCTCGGTGGGGAGAGAGCTGAGCGGGGGGCTGGGCTTGGTCCTGGGAATGTTCTCCACGGAGGATCAGGCCCTGAGACAGCAGAGCCGGCCCACAGGGAGCCTGGCCGTTCTGGTAATGAAAGGAAGTGTGGACCCTGATGGGTTTAGTGCTGACAGGCTGCAGATCAGCCAGGGCCCCAGAAAGCCGAGTCCGGGGGAGCCTTGGAGACAGCGACTCGCCTTCCACGTTACAAAGCAGTGGCGTCCACAGCTGCCACGCCACCCAGCGACAGTGTCACGGTTTCTGTCCCGGATGGTTGTGGTATCTGAGACATTGCTGAGGTCCTGGCGTGGCAGGCCAGAGGGAGACGAGCCAGGGCCCCGCTCTGACCAGGCTTGCTTTTCCTCCTCCTCTTCCCGGAAGCTCCTTACCCCCTGAACACCCCTGTGAAAAGCAGTAGAAACTCAAGCCTTTATCTTCAGCCTTGCCTGGGGAGAGGGGTAAGATTCGCAGGGAACCTAGTCTTCAAGAATCATCAGGCCCAGGGCGAGGAGACCCACGTTTTGTGGGGTCTTTTTTCTTTCTTTTTTTTAGATGGAGTTTTGCTCTTGCTGCCCAGGCTGGAGTGTACTGGTGCAATCTCGGTTCACCACAGCCTTCGCCTCTGGATTCAAGCGATTCTCCTGCCTCAGCCTCCCAAGTAGCTGGAACTATAGGAACGTGCCATGACAGCCAGCTAGGTTTTTTTTTCTTTTTTTAGTAGAGATGGGGTTTCTCCATGTTGGTCAGGCTGGTCTCGAACTCCCAACCTCAGGTGATCCAACTGCCTCTGCCTCCTAAAGTGCTGGGATGACAGACATGAGCCACCACGCCTGGCTTTGTGGGACTTTAAACAGTGCTTCCTGTCAGTGGTGCACCCCACCCAGAAGACCCCCGCATGCTGAGTTTCCAGCAGCTAGATGCGGGGCCCAGCGTAAGCTGAGGTGACAAGGAAGTGCTCTTGGTTTGGTCACGATGACTCCTCTGGTTTTAGTTTAATATGTCATTGACTAACCAGGGAACCGAGAAGGTCAGAGAAGTTTGAGGACCTGCCCACTGTCTCACAGAGTGACAGACCCTGACTTCTGCCATGGGGTCACCTGTGATTACTAATGACAAAGGGACACGCCAGTGGTAATCTCCCCCGAGCAGTCATCATGCACGGGGCGAGGTTGGACGGGCTTCCCTATAGCCTCTCCCTCAGTGCTCACAGCCATCCTGGAAGCTGGCACTGTCTGTGTTCTCCTTGGGTAGGAAGTGAGGGCACTGATGCCTTAGGAGGGAACTAACTGGCCAGAGACAGAGCTGGGGCTGGAACCCCAGCAGCTGGTATGGCCAGCTGCCCTGGGGTCCCTCGGTCCCTCTTGTCCCAGGTGCTCAGACAGAACTTTGTCCAGCACACTCCTGCTGCAAGATTAAGCAGCATGCCAGGCACCGTGGCTCACGCCTGTAATCCCAAAACTTTGGGAGGCCGAGGCAGGTGGATTACCTGAGGTCAGGAGTTTGAGACCAGCCTGGCCAAGATGGTGAAACCCCATCTCCACTAAAAATACAAAAATTAGCCGGGCGTGGTGGTGGGTGCTTGTAATCCCAGCTACTCGGGAGGCTGCAGTCAGCCAAGATAGTGCCACTGCACTCCAGCCTGACGACAGAGCAAGACTCCATCTGAAGAAAAAAAAAGAGAACGTGGCATATCCCAATGTACACGTTGAGGTGCCTTCCTCACAATTTTGGCCTTAAACGTATAACTATAACTTATTTAATTTTTTAAATCAATTTCCATTATTTTGAACTAAAATCTATTGCAAAAGGATGTTCTGTGGTCCTACCTTAGCCACAGTAACTGCAATCTGCCATTCACCAAAGGCAACTGCTGTCTACCAAAAATAGGTACAAGGTACGCAGAGCAGTGCCACGGAATTTGAGTTGGGTGCTGGCTCCTGATGAACACTCTGATCTTGATTTTCTGCGCTTTTTTGAAAAGTGAGATGAGCAAAGTCTAAAGAGGTGTTAAAGACAGACTAGCACCAGACTGAGACTTTGGCCTGAGGGAGCCGACAGGGCACTGACTGTCTCGCTTTGCTGATCAAGATCCCATCATGCTGTGCCTCTTAGGAGCCTCTCACGTGAACACCTCACACGTGGAGAAACACTGAAACGGGGTGTGGGAAAGCCCCTGACATGCCAGTGTCCCCTTTTCCACCAGGGGAGCACACCTGGCCCTGGGCTGCAGACACGGCACAGGGAGGCTGCTCCTCTGGGCCGGGCTGGCGGGGACCGGGCTGGGTCCACGTTGTCCCGGCCTGACCGATGGGTATGTCGTTGCTCACCAGCACGCCAAGCTACAACTACGCGCCCAACCCGGACAAACACTGGATCATGCGCTACACGGGGCCCATGAAGCCCATCCACATGGAATTCACCAACATGCTGCAGCGGAAGCGCCTGCAGACCCTCATGTCGGTGGACGACTCCATGGAGACGGTAGGCGCCCCCTGCATGGCTCCGCGGGCGGCCGGGCCCGGCCTGAAACCTCCCAGCCCTTCGGGTTTTTCCTGGAGGAATGGAACTCAGGCAGAATGGAGAGGCCCCATGCTAGACCCGGGGAACGGTCTGGAGCAATCCAGACAACAGCCTCTTCGTTCATGAAACGTTCTCGATCTGTGCTGCCCAGGTATGCTAGTTACATTTTTTTCCCTGCTATTTACATTTTTGACCAGCTTTACTGGGATGTAATTCACATACCATACAACTCACCCAATTAAAAAGTGTGCAATTCTGTGGTTTTCACATACCCAGAGTCGTATAACCGTCACCACACCCGTGCTAGGGCATTTTGGCTACCCCGAAGAGAAACCTCCCAGCCCGTAGCCATGCCCACTAAATCTCCATCACCCCCCGGCCCCAGACAACTGGTGATCTCTTTCTGTCTATAGATTTGGTTCTGCACATTTCCTATAGATGGACTCGTACCTGCTGTGCCCTCTGTGTCCCGCCTCTTTCGCTCAGTCCCCTGTGTGCAAGGCTCACCCCTGGTGACCCATGAATCAGTCCTCCATTCCCTGTGATTACTGGATAATATCCCATTGTATGGGTATTGTCACACTTTATTTATCCATGGCTATTTAACTCGATAGGGTTAACAATTTAAAGTCAGTTCCTCTGTCACACAAGCCTCATTTCACGTGCTTAGTAGGTTCAGGTGGCTGGAGGCCACCTGTCAGACAGCACAGACATTAACACGGCCACCAACACAGAATGGTCTGCCACACACTGCCCTTCCGGATTGCAAGCTCCTGCCACAGGAATGAAACTATCCCAGTTCCATTCATCCATCCGTCCGATAGCATTTATTGAGTGCTGGTGTGCATGGGATACAGCAGGCAGGAAACAAAATGACAACAGCCTCTGCCCTAATGGAGGCAGTGTGCCAAGGCAGGGACGCAGACAATCCACAAATAAGTAAAAGAGGCCGGGCACGGTGGCTCACGCCTGTGATCCCAACGCTTTGGGAGGCCGAGGTGGGTAGATCATCTGAGGTCAGGAGTTCAAGACCAGCCTGACCAACATGGAGAAACCCCATCTCTACTAAAAATATAAAAATTAGCCAGGCATGGTGGCATGTGCCTATAATCCCAGCTGTTTGGGAGGCTGAGGCAGGAGAATGGCTTGAACCCAGGAGGCGGAGGTTGCAGCGAGCCGAGATCGTGCCATTGCACTGCAGCCTGGGCAACGAGAGTGAAACTCCCCTCACAAAAAATAAAAGAGATGGAGGCTGAGAAGTGCCATGAAGAACCATGGAAGGGAGAGCGGGGCAGGGAGTGACAGCAGGCAGAAGGGTGCCGTTATCAAGAGGACAGCCCCTGGGGAAGTTGAGTGAAAACCTGAAGCAGGGGAGGGATGGGGCCTGAGATCTCAAGCGTCTGTCACCCAGGGTTGGAGCGGCCGGTCACCCAGTCCTTCCCGCCCCTGCCTCCTGCCTGTGTTGCAGATTTACAACATGCTGGTTGAGACGGGTGAGCTGGACAACACGTACATCGTGTACACCGCCGACCATGGCTACCACATCGGCCAGTTTGGCCTCGTGAAGGGGAAGTCCATGCCGTATGAGTTCGACATCAGGGTCCCATTCTACGTGAGGGGCCCCAACGTGGAAGCTGGCTCTCTGTAAGTGTGTCACCCCCCAGCCCCCAGGAACCCACAGAGGCCTCCGGGCTCAGCTTGGGGCTTCAACCATGCAGACAAAACCCAAGCCACACTCTGGGTGGCTCATGATTTTGGCAGGTGGACCCCAGAGCCAAAGGAAAGCAATTATGTCAGGCATTTTATACCCCTCTGGTGGGAAAGGAGAGGCCAGGAGCGTTAGCACCTGTGGAAACAGATTGTGGTAGGGCTGTCTGCCAGGAAATCCAGGGAGCTGGGCTGTGTACGTGTGTGCACGCACGCGTGTGTCACCAGTGGGTAGGAGTGGCACTTGGATTTCTGTTCTGGGCTGGGCAGTCATTGATGAGGGTCTGGAGGTTGTCAGGGAGGAACCCCGGACCTCGCCACAAGCAGCTGGTTGTCAGCCGGGATCAGCTGAGCCAGCTCCGGGCAGCAGCACAAAGGGAAATGCTTTTCCCTCCCATCCTTCCTAGAGGACCGCGTGGGCCGCAGCCCTCAGCCAGCCTTTCTCCTTGGGTTCACCTTTGAGATGACATGTTCTGGCAGCAAAAATGGCTACGTCTGGGGCAGGGAAACAGACAGGCCGGTATTCATGGCACCAGCTTCCTTGGATCGGCTGGGATATTATAAAGAACTGGCTCAAATGGGTCTTTTGAAAAGCAGATGTGTTGCTATTGAGATTCTCATTCGGCCTGACTTCCACCCTCGCACAGACCCAGCACTCACACCGGGCTGGCTGCAGAATTCGTCCTGAAAAGGCATTGACGTTGCAGCATGGAATTCCAGACTGACATGTTCCCACTGCCTTCGACATACTGTGAGAATTCCAGGAGGCAGGCTGCATGAGTTCAAGTCCAGAGAAAGTGATGACTCTCTGTTGACCTCATCAGATCGTGCCTGTCTTTGGCTCTCAGCATCCCCACTGGAATAAGAGCTGTAATAATGATAGCACATGTGTGTGGAGTGCCTACTCTTCAAGGCCTGGCCCAAGAACTATGCAATAGGCCAAACACAGTGGCTCACGCCTGTAATCCCAGCACTTTGGGAGGCTAAGGCAGGTAGATCACGAGGTAAAGAGTTCGAGACCAGCCTGGCCAACATGTTGAAACCCCATCTCTACTAAAAATACAGAAAATTAGCCGGGGGGGGGTGGCATGTGTCTGTAATCCCAGCTATTCTGGAGGCTGAAGTAGGAGCATCACTTGAACCCAGGAGGCAGAGGTTGTGGTGAGTAGAGATCACGCCATTGCACTCCAGCCTGGGTGACAGAGCAAGACTCCATCTCAAAAAAAAAAAAAGAACTACATAATATTTCATTGCAGGCTGGGGGCGATGGCTCACACCTGTAATCCCAGGACTTTGGGAGGCCCAGGTGGGCAGATCACTTGAGGTCAGGAGTTCAAACTGTTAACATGGTGAAACCCTGCCTCTACTAAAGATACAAAAATCTGCTGGACGTGGTGCTGCACACCTGTAATCCAAGCTACTCAGGAGGCTGAGGCAAGAGAATCACTTGAATGCAGGAGGTGGAGGTTGTGGTGAGCCAAGATCGTGCCACTGCACTCCAGCCTGGACAACAGAGTGAGGCTTCATCTTAAAAGAAAATTAATAATAATTCATTTCAGCATCACAACAACTCTGTGACGTGGATGCTCATATTAACTCTGTTTTACACCCAGGCACACAGAGGCACAGAGAGGTTAAGTTGCCTGAGGTTACATAGCAAGTCGGGGAAGGGGCTAGGGATTGAAGCCAGGCAGTCTCTTTCTCCCTCTGCCACACCTCTCAGAAACCTCGAACCTTCCCCGTGAACAGAAAGAATCTGACCCACTGAGGGCTCTGCAAACACTGACGTGGGGGTTTGGTCAGCCTCAGAATCTGTGGTCTGACTCATAGGACCCAAAACCATATCCCACGTGGTCAAGAAAAAGACAGTGCCAAGTCAGGCGTGAGATCAAAGACACACAGTATCCGTCAGCCAGGACTTCTTTGGTTGCAACCAGAAAAGACCTTTGAACCAGATGAGCTGAATGAGATAAAAGGAACATAGTAGCTACAGTAACTGAAAATTCCATGCCCAGCTCCGGCCTCAGGCATGGCTGGATCCAGCAGTCTTACCATGCCATTGGAAAGCTCTCATTTCTTATCTCTCAGTCCCATTTCCGCTGAATTGGCTTCATTCTCAGGCAGGTTTTTCTCCTTATGGCAGAGTCGGCAACTCCAGATGTTCAGGGGATACAGAAGTGACCACCTGAGCCAGGCTTCCTGCAGCTTAGAGTCTAACTGGGCAATAGACAGTAAACCATCCTGTTGAGGAAGCCAGACTGCTTTGAACAGAAGACCTGAGACTAGTTCCCACTGGCCAGACTTAGGTCACGGGTCCTTCCCTGAACCAATCACTGTAGTCAGAGGTGACAGAAACCCTTGAGTGACCAGACTGAGTGCATCGGGCAGTGGACTCTGAATGGGGTCAGGTAGTTCCTCCGGAATTAGAAGCTACAACACAGAGCAAGGCATGGGTGCTGGCCAGGAAAAGCAACTGCTGTCCTCCTCCTCCCCCCGAGCCTGGGGGAGCGGGGCCAGTGGACAGGCTCAGCCCCATCGGCGGCTGGTTGCTGGGTTCGGCAGAGCATCCTTCCCTCAGCAGCCTTCCCAGCTCCCTCGCCTCCAGATTCACTTTTGCCGCCTGATGCTGGCCTGTGAGCCCCCGTGCCACAGCTTCAGCCCACCTTCCCCAGCTGCACACAGGCTTGGCAGCCTGTCCGATGTTCACAGGTCACTGGACTGGGGAGAGATGGAGGGTTAAAGGTGACTGAAACTCTAGGACCTAGGCCCTGCCCTGACTGCCAGGGAACTGGCAGGAAAGGCACTCAGGCGCTCTGACGGCGCGTGTGTCCACCATTCATTCCCCAGGTGCTGGACCCTGTGCTAGGCCCACCCCTCAAGTCCCTTACCCTGCACTGGGAATGTCACCAGCCAGAAACTGAGCCAGGCGAGGTGGCTCATGCCTGTAATCCCAGCACTTTGGGAGGCCAAGGCAGGTGTATCGCCTGAGGTCAGGAGTTCAAGAGTAGCTTGGCCAACATGGTGAAACCCCACCTCTACTGAAAGTATAAAAATTAGCCAGGTGTGACGGCACATGTCTGTAATCCGAGCTATTGGGAGGCTGAGGCATGAGAACTGCTTGAACCCAGGAGGTGGAGGTTACAGTGAGCTGAGATCTCACCACCACACTCCAGCCTGGGTGACACAGCAAGACTCCGCCTCAAAAAAAAAAAGGAGCCAGGAGAGGTGGCAGATGTATGGGAATTCACTTAGCTAATATTTAGTGAGTAGCTACTGTGTGTCTAAGGGTGTAAGTCCTGGGGATACAGAAGTGACCACCTGAGCCAAGCTTCCTGCAGCTTAGAGTCTAACTGGGCAATAGACAATAAACCAGAGAAATAAGTAAAATCTATAGCTTACGAGATGGTGATAAGGCTTCAGGAGAAAGGTAAAGCTGGGAGGGTGTGGAGGGGGTGTACTTCCAAGTAGGGTCCTCAGGAGGGGCCTTGCATTGGGTATCTGTGCTGCAGCACAAACTGCCACAAACTCAGCAGCTTAAGACAACACACACATACAAACTTCCAGTGTCTGAGGGTCAGAAGCCTGGGCCCAGCCCGGCAGGGTCCCCTGCTTAGGCTGAAATCAAGGTGCCAGCCAGGGCTGCAGTCTCATCCAGAGGCTCGACTGAGGAGCATCCTCCTCACTGCTCCTGGAGCAGGTCCAATGCAAGCAGAGGACTTGAACCCATGCCCTCTGCCTCCCAAACGGCTCACAGGCCAGCTGCTGATTTAGAGTGGCTTGTTTCTTCAAAGCCAGCAAGGGGAGAGAGAGACCAGAGCAAGACTGCTAGCAGGATAGAGATGCCTGTCTCATAACACAGCCATGGGAGTGACAGCCCATCACCTTTGCCATGTCCCACTTGGCTCAGGTCCAGGTTGGTCCACACCCAAGGCGAGGAGGTCACATTAAGGTGTGATCACCAGGGACAGGTGGGGACCACCAAAGCCTGTCATGAGCCTCCTTGGTAATAGAGCAAAGAACTAAAGGGGGGAGGGACAGTGGCACATCAATCTCCAGGGAAAGGACGGTCCAGGTACAGGGGACCTGAGGCCGGGCTGTGCCTGGGCTGTCGAGGGACAGTGAGGACCAGCAATGCCCCAGAGGTCCAGGGGAAGGGCCAGGATTTAGGCTGGCTGTCAAGGTGGGTTGCCTTCGCTCAGGAAGTGGGGGCAGGGGGGGCAGGAGGGGGACAGGGTGGGGCTGTCAGCTCATGCCATGGCATGTCTGAGGTGCAGAAGCTAAGTGGGGGCAAGTGGAGAATGGTGGTTCGGCTGAATCTGCGCCACAGTGGGGAGCTGCTGAGTGTCGAGGTGCCAGACCGCAGCTTCCGTTCCTGCAGGTGTCTGCCCCCTGCAACCTGCTGCCCACCACTGCCCCCAAACGCCCGAGTCAGGCTGAAGCACCACCACCCAGGTGCTAAGTCCCTGATCTCCTGCCTCCCCCAGGAATCCCCACATCGTCCTCAACATTGACCTGGCCCCCACCATCCTGGACATTGCAGGCCTGCAAATACCTGAGGACATGGACGGGAAATCCATCCTCAAGCTGCTGGACTTGGAACAGCCGATGAATCGGTGAGGAAGGAGCAGGGCCGGTGGGGCGGGGGTGGGGCCGGACACTGGGCTTCTGACCTGCAGGAACTCAGGGCAAAACCCTGTGGGTCTAGAACGTGAGGTCCCCAAGGGTCGGGAGCTGGGGTTCTCAGGTCCCCCCACCCCAACCACTTACCTGCTACGGTAAGTAAGTGCCGTCTTCCCATCTGGAATGTGGCCAAGGTGACCAGTTGGGGACCTTCTCGGAGCTAAAATTACACAGAGCTTGAAATAATAACAGCCGCAGTGATGGTAGGAGTTAGTGCTAACTACGAATTGACTGTGTGTGAGGCGCGGTTCTGAGGACCGTGCGGGGATTCTATGAATTTGATCCTCACGGTAAGCCAGAGAGGTGGGCATTAGTATCATCCCCATTTTACCAGTTTGGAATCTGAATCCCAAAACGATTGAGTGACTTGTCAGAGATCTCACAGCAAGTCTGGAGGACTTCAGCTACAGGAATTCAGACATTGACTCGCCATGCCCCGTAGCTTTAATGCTGGACGGTGTCCAGAGAGGCAGAATAGGAACCGTGAGGGTGAGCAAAAGTCACACAGGTGGAAGGTGAGCTGAGGCAGGGCAGGGGTGCCGGCGTGGCCGCAGCGACATCTGGTGGCCAGCACTCTCACCGCCACCAGGTTTCTGGCCTCCAGGTGCTATGTCAGCTCCTGGCTTGCACCTCTGGCAGCGGAGCCCTTCCTCAGTGGCCTCCCAGAGGCTCCAGCCAGGTGGGCACTGTGTGCCCACATCTGGCTGCCCTGTAGGGGGACTACGTCCATTGAGGCTCCAGCCCCAACTGAGGCCAGGTGAGCTGTAATGGTATAAAATGGACATGTTTGGGGACACTGGCCTGGGAGCCAGGCCACCTGGGGGTCAGGGGACAGGGTGGAAGCTTCCCCTCTCGACTTCAGAGTGCCCATCTAGGAAATGAAACTGACCAAGTGGCAGTGGATGAAACACACAAATTACATACGTGCAACAGCAAAGCATTCAAGAAGAAAACACCCCCAAAACTCTGTGCAATTAATCTAACACCAAGACAGCCGCGGACCTGGCGCTGAACTGAAGACAGCTCTTCCAGCTCCGGGGAGTCGTTGGGCTTCCTTTGCGCACACACGGTTACGTGGGTGGGACTTAGAGTCACTGACCTGGGTCATTTCTGCCCCACGTGCCTCCAGACCCAAATCTCTGGGGGAAGGGGTGGCTCAACTGGGAGAAGGGCGCAGAAGCCTCCCCAGTGCCTGGCTGGACACACCACAACTGCTGTCCAGGCTGACCGGAAGCCGAGGCTGACTGCGGGCGCCATCCCTGCTCCTGGGGGCATCGGGGGTCGTGGTAAGCCCTCACATAGCTGAGAAGCAGGAGCTGTGCTTTTTTTCCAGGTTTCATTTGAAAAAGCTGAAGGTCTGGCGGAACTCTTTCCTGGTGGAGAGAGGGTGAGTGCTGTGTCCTGGGAAGGACACCCCTGCACAACTCCCTCCCTCCCTCCCTCCCTCCCCGCAGGATGCAGCCCCACCCATCACGGTGTTCGGGACCTCCCGCGCCGGTGCAGAAGGGAGAATAGGGCTGTGGTGCTACCTTCCAGCAGGGGCTGTGCAGCTGTGTCCAAAGACCCCTCAACACAGAGCCCATTCGCTGCTCCTGTAGATGACACAGAATTAGGGTCTGAGGTCACGGGCACCCTCTTAGCGTGTTCTGTCCAGCCTGTACAGTGTCTTCCATGTATTTAATGTATTGCCAACTCATGCAGTTTGGGAAGTTTCTTATAAAATTCTATTATCTTAAGTCTCCTAAACATCAGGAGGTCAGAACAGGGTGGCCCTGCGTCCTCCACTGTGAGGATAAGCCGGAGCCAGGGGGTCCCCTCTAAGTGGACACACGCACCTCCCGGGCTCCTCAAAGCTGAGAGGCCGTCCCCGCGGCTCCTGCTGTCTGCCCCGCAGCAAACTGCTACACAAGAGAGACAGTGACAAGGTGGACGCCCAGGAGGAGAACTTCCTGCCCAGGTACCGGCGTGTGCAGGACCTGTGTCAGCGTGCCGAGTACCAGACAGCGTGCGAACAGCTGGGACAGGTAAGGCTCCCCGCCCTCCCGATGGCCCCTCCCGACTGCAGCCAGCCCTGGCCTTCGAGGCCCCGAGAGCCGCTGAACCAGCAGGGCCGGGGTCTCCCAACGGGTAGCCCTTTGCTGCCGTGTGACACCCAAGATGCTGTTTGGTGATGCAGGGTGACACTCACTATAAGTAATAAGTAATTCTTTTTTTTTTTTTTCTTTTTTTTTTTTTTTTGAGACAGAGTCTCACTCTGTCTCCCAGGCTGGAGTGCAATGGTGTGATCTTGGCTCACTGCAACCTCCACCGCCCAGTTTGAAGCGATTCTCCTGCTTCAGCCTCCCAAGTAGCTGGGACTATAGGCACATGTTACCACACCTGGCTAATTTTTGTATTTTTAGTACAGACGGTGTTTCTCCAGGTTGGTCAGGCGGATCTCGAACTCCTGACCTTGTGATTTGCCCACCTCCGCCTCCCAAAGTGCTGGGATTAGAGGCGTGAGCCACTGTGCCCAGCCAGCGACTCCTTTCTCAGCAGCCCTGGGACCTGACCGTGTCAGAGGCCAAGCGTCCCGTGGGTGTGCGTGCGCCCTTCGCGCCTCTCTGGCCCTTGCCGGCCCCTCTTGCACAAAGGGCCCCAGCAGAAGTTAAATGACCTTACTGCATTCACTTTGGTTTTTCGTTTATAGGAGTAACAAGAAATGGCTTTTTAAAATAAATACATGTACATTTTTTTTTTTTTTTTTTTTTTTTTGAGACGGAGTTTCGCTCTTGTTACCCAGGCTGGAGTACAATGGCGCGATCTCGGCTCACTGCAACCTCCGCCTCCCGGGTTCAGGCAATTCTCTTGCCTCAGCCTCCTGAGTAGCTGGGATTACAGGCACACGCCCCCATGCCCAGCTAATTTTTTGCACCTTTAGTAGAGACGGGGTTTCACCATGTTGACCAGGATGGTCTCGATCTCTCGACCTCGTGATCCACCCGCCTCAGCCTCCCAAAGTGCTGGGATTACAGGCTTGAGCCACCGCGCCCGGCCACATGTACATTTTTTAGAAAGTGAATTGACAGGCCGGGCGCGGTGGCTCACGCCTGTAATCCCAGCACTTTGGGAGGCCGAGGCGGGTGGATCACGAGGTCAAGAGCTCGAGACCATCCTGGTCAACATGGTGAAACCCCGTCTCTACTAAAACTACAGAAAATTAGCTGGGCGTGGTGGTGTGTGCCTGTAATCCCAGCTACTCAGGAGGCTGAGACAGGAGAATTGCCTGAACCCAGGAGGCGGAGGTTGCGGTGAGCCAAGATCGCGCCACTGCACTCCAGCCTGGGCAACAAGAGTGAAACTCCGTCTCAAAAAAAAAAAAAAAAAAAAAGTGAATTGATTGCAAGAGAAATATTAAGGAAATGATGGCCAGGAACAGCCATAATTAGCAGTTTGCTGTGGGGCCGCCTCTCAGTGGCTCATGCCTGTGGTCCCAGCTACTCCAGAGCAGAGGTGGGAGGACAGCTTGAGCCCGTGTGCTGGAGGCTGCAGTGAGCTGTGACTGCACCACCGCACTGCAGCTTGGGTGACAGAATAACCCTGTCTCTAAAAATAAGAAAAAAGAAAATTACCTGGGAAGTATTCAGAGATAGCGGAAACTGACATGTTTGGGAAAGGCTGAACAAGGCTTTTCTAAGGCTGGAAGGCCAAGGGAGGAGGGTGGGGGAAGGGCAACACCAGCTGGCAGGGAGATGGGAGGGGAGATGGGCATGCCAGGGCCAGGCAAGCAGGTGGAAGGCAGCGGGGCCTTCAACAGCAGTGAGCTGGGGGACACAGCAGACGGCGGGGATGGTGGCGCCAGGTCCCACACTATACCTTACAGGCCTCGCATCTGCCAGCTCTGTCACCCGGGACACGTCCCTCTACCTCTGTGTGCCTCGTCACCTGCCTTGTAGGGTCGCGTGAGATATAGTGAGTGAGTTAATATCAACACACGGTGCTGGGCACATGCTACGTGCTGCAGAGACACAGGGAGCAGATCCAACCCGTGGCTTGGAAAGGTCACTTTGGCACAAAATAGGCCCTAACGAGTCATTTGATGAATGAGCGGGAGCAGGGTGGACAGACGGGAAGAGAATCTAGTTTGCAGGTGGTTGCAGGATCCCATGAGGGGATCCAGGAGGCTGGAATTGGGGAGAGAAAAGGAGAGGTTTGGACGGTGATTCTGTCTACATTAAGCTTCTGACCACCGTCAGTGGGAAGGTGGTCAGGGTCCTCCTTGCGCTGGAGCAGAGACGGAAGGAAGAGAAGCCTCCGGCAGGGTAAGGGCTGGAGACAAGGCATTCTAGGGAGAAGGAACGGTGAGCACCGAGGCCCGGAGGCGGCAGCCCTTGAGATACTGGAGAGAGAGGGCGGGGCTGAGGCAGAGCAGGGGCAAGAGAGGAGGACCCGTGGGAGGCACCGGCCAGATTGGGAGAGTGTTTGGAGACCTGTATCAGGAGCTTGGGTCTTGTCCTAAAGACAGTGGGAGCCATTGAAGGGTTTTGAGTAGGAGAGTAACATGACCTGACTTGCCTTTTGAAAAGATTCCTTGGCCGGGCACGTGGCTCACGCCTGTAATCCCAACACTTTGGGAGGCCAAGGCAGGTAGACCATGAGGTCGAAGATCGAGACCATCCTGGCGAAACCCCATCTCTACTAAAAATAGAAAAATTAGCTGGGCGTGGTGGCGCGCGCCTGTAATCCCAGCTACTCAGGAGACTTGAGGCAGAAGAATTGCTTGAACCTGGGAGTTGGAGGTTGCAGTGAGCCGAGATCGCGCCATTGCACTCCAGCCTGGGTAACGAGAGTGAAACTCCGTCTCAAAAAAAAAAAAAAAAAAAAAAAAAAAAAAAAAAGAGTCCTGTAACTGCTGTGTGGGTGGATTTTCAGAGCAGACGGAAGCAGGCAGCCATGAGTGGTGGCTGTTCCAGGCATCTCACGGGGGGTGATGGTGGTTCCGCCCAAGGCTGAAGCATGGCCAGAAGCGGCGCTTGCAGATGCAGGTGTAGGGCTGGGTACAGGCAGGGCGGGGGTGTCTCCGGGGTGGATGGGGGTGGCAGGGGAGAGGCAGGTCTGGGGGAGCAGACGAACAGCTGGCTGAGACCCTGGTGTGCCTTGCAGAAGTGGCAGTGCGTGGAAGATGCTACAGGGACGCTGAAGCTGCACAAATGCAGGGAGCCCGTGCAGCTGGACGGCGGCAGAGCCCTCTCCAACCTCGTGCCCAAGTACTACGGGCAGGGCAGCGAGGCCTGCGTCTGCGACAACGATGACTACAAGCTCAGCATGGCCGAACGCCGGAGAAGGCTCTTCAAGAAGAGTAAGTGTCACGATCTGGCTGAGTAGGATGGGAGGAGAGAGACCCTGCCTGGGAGCCCCATTCATTCATTCACACAATTCCACAGAGACTGTCACTTTGCCAGGTGGTGGTCCAGGGACTGGGGACACAGCCATACCTCCTCACAAGCCACCTATGCTCGTGGGAGCAGTAATAATAAAACTTAAAGATAAGGCCAACCATGGCGGCTCACATCTGTAATCCCAGCACTTTGGGAGGCCGAGGCAGGTGGATCCCCTGAGGTGACGAGTTCAGGACCAGCCTGGCCAACATGGTGAAACCTGTCTCTACTAAAAATACAAAAATTAGCCCACATGGTAGTGTACGCCTGTAATCCCAGCTACTGGGGAGGCTGAGGCAGGAGAATCACTCGAACCTGGGAGGTGGCGGCTGCAGTGAGCCAAGATCACTCCACTGCACTCTAGCCTGGGCGACAGAACAAGACTCATCTCAGAAAAAAATCTTAGTTCGTAAGACCGGATGATACTGTACCACGGCCTCGTTAGAGACTGAGGTGTCCAGAACGGGCACGGTGGTCTCCTCTGGTCCACCCAGCCAGGCAGCAAATGTCCTCACCATGGAGCAGACACGTCTCTCTCCATAATGCCCAGCCCCTGCCCCAAACAACACTTCCCAGTGATGGTCCGCCGGTACATTTCCTAGCCAGCTGACTGGGAACTACTACATTAACTTTCCTAGCTGAATAAGATGATTGGTTTCCAGATTGGATTACACAGCCAGCCTCTCCTTGCTTCAGCTGGTGGCACAGTGGATAATCTTTAAATAATACAAGATCTCGCAGGGAGAAATTCAGCTTGTTTCCCCCTTATTAATGCTTAGAGGAAAGAAAAATGTCCCTAAGTAGCTGAGAGTCAGCTCAGCACTGGTAAGAAGTCCTCAGCGAGTGTGATGTCAGAGCCTAGACCACCTCTCAGCAGCCTGTGAGCGAGGCGGGGTGATCACCTTCATGATGGACAGGAAAGGCTGGCTCACGTGGCTGATCTGGGACTGCAGCCCCATCTCCTGCCCAGCATTCATTCCCCCGCTGCCAGGGTCTCCCACAAGACACTCTGTCCCTCTTTTTTTTTTTTTTTTTTTTGAGATGGCGTCTCACTCTTTCTCCCAGGCTGGAGTGCAATGGCACGATCTAAGCTCACTGCAACCTCCGCCTCCCAGGTTCAAGTGATTCTCCTGCCTCACCCTCCTGAGTAGCTGGATTACAGATGTGTGCCGCCATGCCTGGCTAATTTTTGTATTTCTAGTAGAAATGAGGTTTCACCATTTTGGCCGGGCTGGTCTCAAACTCCCAACCTCATGATCCGCCCACCTCAGCCTCCCAAAGTGCTGGGATTACGGGCGTGAGCCACCACACCCAGCCTGTCCCTCTTTTCTGAGCAGTCAGCCTAGAGCAGGCTGAACTGGGGGCTTTCAGTCTTCCAGGGGACACTGTTTGGAGACATTTTTGGCAGTCACAGCTGAATGTGATGGACGGGTGCTGCTGGCATCTAGTGAGCAGTCTGTGGATGCTGCTAACACACAGCACAGCGCCCCCTGCAGACATTCATCTGGCCCCAACGTGTCAGCAGTGGTAAGGTCGGGAAGTCCTGGCCCAACCCACCCTGACCCAATGGGATCCCAGCTGTGGTGTGGGGAAGCCAGGCCGAGCTGGCCAGCCCACAACAGAAGGTGGAGCTGGGAACAGGAGAAGGGGACCAGGAGGAGGGGATGGGACCAGGTGGCTGGGGTTCATTCACTTCTTGAGCTCTGTGCCAGACACTGAGATCAGAGTTGACCTAGAGAGACCCTGACTCTCATGGACCTCGTGGATGAGACAAGAGGTGAAGAAGTTAACAGAGAGGGCCACTTACTCGGTGAAAAATGCATAAAGGAGACGCAGCGGTGGCGGGACCGGGCAGAGGGGTGGCGGCTGCAGAATGGTGCTCTGTGGACATTTATTCAGAACCGGGTACAGAAAGGAGCAGAACTTGTTGGCAAGAGAGCAGGTGTTCTAAGGAGGAAGACAGAGGACAAAGTCTGTGTGCTCAGAATGGGCGTGGGGGGTCCCAGCCACAGAGAGGTGACCAGTGTGGCTCAGGGGTGAGCGGCACAGTGGGCGCGAGCAGCCACATCACACAGGGGGATGCTGGCCTAGGGAGGCAGGGAGTGGGCCCAGGGTGTCCCCTGAGGTGAGGACATAGCTGCAGGCAGCGTCCCCCGCCACCATGGTAGCTGGTCCACACCAGCTCATCACACCGAATGCTTCACTGTCTGTTTGGTGCCATCCTCCAAGGCGCCCTGTAAGGCAGCCTCTGTCATGAGGATTTGCCCAAATTGCCAGGGCCCACACATGTGCTCAAGGGTTTGCACCTGAGAATACCATTGCCACACCAGAGCTCTCGGCTGCTGCGCGATGAAGTCCTGTCCCACGTCCCGTTTGTGTGGCAGGAAGGTGTTACCTCTGGGACCCTGGACATGAACACAGAGTGATGGGGAGAGCCAGTCGTGTGGCTTCAGTCCAGGAAAGGATTGCCTCCCAGCACCGTGTGCACTCGCTTCAGGGAGACTAAGCCCAGGGAGGGAAGGGCCCCGGAGAAGGCTTCCCCCGAGCTAGAAAAGGCCCAAGGCTTTGCTAGAGAGGGGATGCCTCTCCTGGGCCCTCGGGACCCTTCGGCCCTTGTGACTGATGCAAGGTGTCTGAGAACTGAAAGACCCAAAACATCCCCCGAGAGCAGAGGCAGCGAGACCCGGGCCACATGGGAAAGAAAGCGCTTTCCTCCCTCCTTCCGCCACCGCCTGCCTTCAGTGGGTCCTCCTCCGTCACCATCTCAGGGTCACTTGGGACCCAACAAAAGCTGGGCCACTAACTGGCTCCAGGCTCTTCTCCTTAAACCAGGTACATCTGGAGAAGGATTACAATGCCAGCGCATGCTGGGGCCAGACACGTGCCGGGTGGCGGGGCTGTGGCCAGCAGGGAAGACACTGGCCAGCGAGAGGGGCCGCTCCCCTCCCGCTCATCCTGACCACGTGGAGCTGTGGGCGGAGACGTCTGTTTTCTTTCGGGAAACTGGAAGTCTGCATCCGTCCGTCACCGCCCCCATCTCCCCTTTTTCTCTCATGTCAGCAACTCAGATTTGTTTTTGACACGCAGAAGATGCAGTCTCTCTGGGGTGTCACGTTAGCCTGCACACACTGAGTTTTTGGCATTAGGGCGTCCGTAAAGCCCCTCTCAGCCTCGTGCCCCACCCACCTGGTGGGCAGCCTCCAGCTCACTGGGTCTTGGAGAAGCTAAGTGGCTTCCCCAGTCCCCGTCCATGTCTCCGCAGAGACAGGCAGGCGCTGCAGGGCCCTCTTCCCAGTTCAAGGCGTTTTTATATCCATAATGCTTTCTTCCTTTTTAATTGAGGTGAAGTTGAGATAACATAAAACCTAAGAGTTGTATACGATGCAGAGACATTTGATACGTTCACAGCATTGCGCACCCCTACCTAGTTTCAAAACATTTCATCACCCCAAAAGGGAGCCCCACACCCGCCCACAGTCACGCCTCACCGCCCTCTCCCCGTCTCGGCAACCACCGATCTCTCTGCCGCTGTAGATTTACCTCTTCTGGGTAGTTCCTATAAATAGAATGAACAGTGCGAGCCCGCTTTGTGTCTGGCTGCTGTCACTCGGCAGGATGCTTTTGACACTCATCCACACTCTGGCATGAATCGGAACCTTGCTCCTGGTGGTGGATTCGGTTGTACCGATGATCTACTGTCATTTCTTCACCCATACGAAGCTCTTGCTTGAAATCCTCTCGAGCCGGTGGCTTCTTGGCTCTAGGACTTCAGTCTTGCCGGTGTGATGGGCTCGAGGCCCTCCCAAGATCTGTGAGCAGGCGGGTAGATTTCATGACCCCTCGGGTCGAAGGCAGTGCTGAGCCTCATTCTTAGCAGCCTGGCCCTATCTTGATGAAGGAGCCACTGCCCAGACAGCCCAGACAGCCTTTCCCGCCTCCCTGACTCTGCCACCCCTCGATGCCCACAGGGTACAAGCCCAGCTATATTCGATATCGCTCCCTCCGCTCAGTGGCCATTGAGGCAGATGGCAGGGCGCACCACGTAGGCCTGGGTGATGCTGCCCAGCCCCGAAACCTCACCAAGCGTCACTCGCCAGGGGCCCCTGAGAACCCAGACGACAAGGATGGTGGGGACTTCAGTGGCACTGGAGGCCTTCCCAACTACGCCGCCACCAACCCCATCAAAGTGACAAATCGGTGAGTGTCCAGGTGGAAGTTGAGGGTGACAGGGACAGGACAGACCTTCAGAAGGGCTTCCCACACCTCCTGGGCCCCTGGGCTGGTCCTTCTCCTCCACCTCCTCTTCTACCACCTCTTCCACCTCCTCCACCTCCTCCTCCACCACCACCTCCTCTTCCACCTCCTCCATCACCTTCTCCACCTCCTCCTCCATCACCTCCTCCTCCACCTCCTCCTGCATCGTCTCCTCTTCCACCTCCTCCACCACCTCCTCCTCCACCACCTCTTCCTCTTCCACCTCCTCCTCCACTACCACCTCCACCTCCACCACCTCCTCCATCACCTCCTCCTGCATCATCTCCTCCACCACCACCTCCTCCTCCACCACCTCCTCCACCACCTCTTCCTCTTCCACCTCCTCCTCCACTACCACCTCCACCACCTCCTCCTCCACCACCTCCTCCTCCACCACCTCCTCCTCCATCACCTCCTCCTCCATCACCTCCTCCTCCACCTCCTCCTCCACCACCTCCTCCTCCATCACCTCCTCCTCCTCCACCTCCTCCTCCATCACCTCCTCCTCCTCCACCTCCACCTCCACCGAGCCACATATGATCCCTTCTCTCAAGCAGGTGCCACATCCTGGAGAACTACACAGTCCGGTGTGACCTGGACCTGTACAAGTCCCTGCAGGCCTGGAAAGACCACAAGCTGCACATCGACCACGAAGTGAGTGGAGAGCCTGTGAGAGGAGCATGCCCTCAGCCACCATGGGCCTGACAAGACCCCCGACTCACAGTGGCAGGGCAGTGAGGCCAGACCCAGGGACGAGGCTGGAGAGGCGAAATCAGGTCCTCACAGACTCCTCAGCCCAGCCACAGGCGTCAGTCCCAGCATCAGACAGACAGCTTCCTGTACAGGCTGAGGGAGGACGGCTTGGCCACACTGTCCCCCACTTCTGACTTACAAGAAGTCTACACTGGCCTTGCACAGGGGCTCACACCTGTAATCCCAGCACTTTGGGAGGCTGAGGCGGGCGGATCACAAGGTCAGGAGATTGAGACCATCCTGGCCAACACAGAGAAACCCCGTCTCTGCTAAAAATACAAAAAATTAGCCAGGTGTGGTGGTACGAGCCTGTAGTCCCAGCTACTTGGGAGGCTGAGGCAGGAGAATGGCTTGAACCTGGGAGATGGAGGTTGCAGTGAGTGGAGATTGCACCACTGCACTCCAGCCTAGCGACAGAGCGAGGCTCCATCTCAAACAAAAACAAAGAAGTCTACACTACAGTAAGGCGTTTCACCAAGCCCAGGGGAGATACTGGAGCGTGCAGTGGGCTCAGTGAGTTCCTGTGCAGGCCAGGCCGGGAAAATGACTCGCTTCCCTTGCGCGGCTGGCTGGAGGGGAGGGCGGGCTTCCTTCTGCAGGCGGACCAGTCTCCCCACCCACACGGGGAGTGCGGCCGCCGCTGCCGATCACGGGTAGGGGGGCAGCGCCAGCCCATGGCGGTTTCCAGGCTTCCTCTCCTGCCCCTCCCTCAGATTGAAACCCTGCAGAACAAAATTAAGACCCTGAGAGAAATCCGAGGTCACCTGAGGAAAAAGCGGCCAGAAGAATGTGGCTGTCACAAAATCAGGTGAGGCAGTTAGCAAGGGGACCTGCCTGAGACCCCGCTCTCCCAGGGCAGTTCATCTCTCATACTTGACCCCTTTCATCATTTTTTTATCTTTATCTTCTCCCGTCTGGCATTAAAAAACCCGTAATTCACATCCTTCTTGTCATCCAGGCTGGCGCCCAGGTTCCAGCCCCGCTAGCTAGGGGCCCACACTGGCTGTGCCGCGCCGGCTCCAGGCCGGGAACGGCCTCTGCCCAAGGCCCTTTCAGAAATCGCCCACGTGGTCTGAGGTCCACGTTCCCGGCTCAGGGGTCCCCTGGCCCAAAGGACTGAACTCCAGAACAGCTCTGTCCAGTAGAACTCTGTGCTGCTGGAAATGGCCTGTACCTGCCCTGCACCACGTGTGGCTGCTGCACCCTTGAAATTGTGGCTAGTGTCACCAAGGAGCCGAATTTTTTATTTTGCTTAATTCAAACTGAAGCAGCCACCTGTGGCCAGTGGCTCCCGTACTGGACAGCACAGCTGGAAAAGCCTGACCGTTCCAGAAAGTCTGGCAGGCACAGGCTCCCCTGTGCTGACCCCAGCCAAGCGTGCGCAGGCGAGCGGTGGGGAAGCAGCCTCAAGATGCTGAGGCTTTGACACGTGAAATTAACCCTCCAAAAAGGAAAGGAAAAGGCTGCTGAGGCTGACGCCACCTAAAGCCAGGCCCAGCTTCTAGCCGTGGCTAACTTACCGTGAACCCGACCTTCTAAAGTCTAGCCTGGGGTCTTCAGGCAGGGTCCTGGTGCATGCTTAGAGAAAGAAGCCAGCCAGGCAGGTACCTGCTGCCCCCGGGATAGGACAGTGCCTTCCCACCCCAACCCCAGGAGGAGGGCGGGGGCAGGGCAGCAGCTACACGAGGGTGTCCCAGGAACCCTCGAAGCTGTTTCTGAAGCATGGGGCTGGGGGATCCCTTACAGCTACGACACCCAGCACAAAGACCACCTCAAGCACAAAGGCTCCAGCCTGCATCCTTTCAGGTAAGGGCACCTTGAAGTCCTGGGGAAGAGAAGCAGAGGCCGGCGTGAGAAGTTCCCCTTTAAGCTTAAAGAAGAAAAGGAAAGTCCTGGCCCTTCCCTGGGAAGTCTGTGGTGACCCCGAAGAGGCCTTACTTCCCAGTCAACACCGAGCAGGCCTCTGATGCCCTCTTGTGGCTAAAATGGGGTGGCCGCAACTCCACCAAGCAGGGCAGGACTCAGGAAGGGAAAGGGGTGTCAAAGGGAGTCCCAGTAGCCGCAGAGTTCTGTCCCCACCTCTGTGCCCTCTTGGGAGTTATAGTAGGACGACGGAAGACCAAGGTTCTGGCCCCAGCTGTGCCTTGGATCAGCAACGGGACTTGGGACCCTGAAATGCATAGGCCCATGGGTCTCTGTTGGAGAAGCCTCAGCCCAGCCCCTAGGTGGACAGAAAGCAGAGACACGGGGTCACTGACCCCTCAGAGGCCCAACGCGTGTGGCCCTCTGCGCCCATAGGAAGGGTCTGCAGGAGAAGGACAAGGTGTGGCTGTTGCGGGAGCAGAAGCGCAAGAAGAAACTCCGCAAGCTGCTCAAGCGCCTGCAGAACAACGACACGTGCAGCATGCCAGGCCTCACGTGCTTCACACACAACAACCAGCACTGGCAGACAGCGCCCTTCTGGACCCGTGAGCAAGCCCCGGGCAGGGATGGACAGGCTGGGGCCCAGGGGGCCAAGAAACTTCTCCACTTCACTTAGTGACTCACCTGGCCCCAAGCTTGTGAGGGCTTCCACTGCCAGACCTCTCCCAGAAAGAGGGTCCCTGACACCAGGGGTCCATGGTGCCCAGGGCAGCCTCTTGGCATTCAAGGAACTGGTTGGGGGGGGGGGCATCCCGACAGGAGTCACTGTTGGCAGATGGGGCTTCCTCCCACGGGCACTCAGGACGTGCTCTGTCTTCCTTGGCAGTGGGGCCATTCTGCGCCTGCACCAGCGCCAACAATAACACATACTGGTGCATGAGGACCATCAACGAGACTCACAACTTCCTCTTCTGTGAATTTGCCACGGGCTTCCTGGAGTACTTCGATCTCAACACGGACCCCTACCAGGTACAGACAGCACGAGCAGCGAGGCAGGGGTGCACCCGTGCTGCCAGGTAGGCCCCCCAACCTCAGGGAAGTGACGGCAAATTGTCCAAGTCCCACTGAGTCCCTGAGCCAGTGGGCGTAAGCTGAGAAGCCACTGAGATTGGGGGAATCCATGTTCAGCCTTTTTTTGCCTCCATCACGCTGCATGTGTAATATATGCAGCTTCTTCCCTCTAACTTAACATGTCAGCATTCAACCAGGCTTGACAGGAACTTGTGACGACTCCTGAAACTGTCAGGCTGTAGGGTCAGGCCAACTATTACCCACTGCAGGGCCTGCACAGACCACGCAGATAATGTAAGTCACACACAGCACCATGCACTCTGCTAAGTGCTTCTTTACAGTAAGCCATCTAAACACACAGGCGACTGGGGTGACCCAGGGCCACAGAAAAGACCAAGAAGGACCAGGCGCAGTGGCTCCTGCCTGTAATCCCAGCAAGGCGGAGACGGGCAGATCACTTCAGGTCAGGAGTTCAAGACCAGCCTGACCAACATGGAGAAGCCCCGTCTCTGCTAAAAATACAAAATAAATTAGCTGGGTGTGATCATGCATGCCTGTAATCCCAGCTACTTGGGAAGCTGAGGCAGAAGAATCACCTGAACCCAGGAGGCGGAGGTTGTGGTGAGCCAAGATTGTGCCATTGCACTCCAGCCTGGGTGACAGAGTGAGCCTCTGTCTCAACCAAAAGGAGCAGTGGGGCATCTGCTGGCCGGCGCGCGTGAGGCTGTCGGAGCCATCACTACTGAGCAGCAGCACCAGCGCTTTCCTGTACTGTGGCCTCGGGATTGTTCAGCCTTCAATCTTTCAGGAAAAGCCTGACATACCTTTTTATATGAAATCTGATTTTTAAATGTCAGCAGCTCAATTGCTTTAATTACTATATAGGCTTCCAGTCTTTCTCCTTAGATAGGTTCACCCTCATACTTCAACCAAAGCGGGTAAGTTGGTCACCAGTAGCTCGCAGACTAGCCAAGAACCCAGGTCAGTTACACGTCCATTCACCAAATGTTTGCCTTCCGATCAAGAGGAGCTGAGGGGCTTCGCAGAAGACTGCTGATAAACCCAAGACTTGGAAGGCTTTCTTTCCAAGCATGGGAAGTTTCCTGACCAGTGGCTGCAGAATTCCGACGTTAAATACACAGACATGGTTTTCATTCTCCTGAGTTTTCATTCTCATTAAGAGAGACCCTGGTGGGACTAGAAGCCAAAAAACGTCACCTCACTCTTCCAAACTTGGGCTCTTGGAGAAGCTGAGGTGGGAATAAGCAGGTCACCAGCCCACATAGCACCTTCTACCCACAGCCTGCCTGAAATATGTCCCCATGTTGGTAGAAGGGCAGTGTTGGGGTGGGTCTCTGTACTTACCTTGTTGACAAACTACCCTTTTTGCAATCAGCTTATGAACTCAGTGAACACGCTGGACAGGGGTGTCCTCAACCAGCTACACATACAGCTCATGGGGCTGAGGAGCTGCAAGGGTTACAAGCAGTGTAACCCCTGGACTCGAGACATGGACCTGGGTGAGTCGGCACCCCAACATGGGGCCTGTGGCGAGCAGGGACTCAGGAGGTGGTGTCTACCCCAAAAATGAGCCCAGGCTTTGGGAGGTGACACAGATCCAGACAAGTCATGGACGCCCCTGTCCATAGCAGCCAGATGGCCTTTGACAAGCTGTGCTTCCATAAAGAGGAACACCCACACCACTGGCCCAGGAAGCACACGGAATTCCCTCTTATTTTCTCCCTTTTGTTCACTCATGCATTCAACAAACATTTACTGAGGACTTACACCTGAACCCATGTTAACTAAAGATGACCCCGACCTCCCTGATTCAAGTGGAGCTAGCATTCTCCTAGGAAGAGCAGTCTTGCTTGTCTGGACAGTCTAACCAGATGCTATCATCCAATATGACTGGGCAAGGGCCCCATTAAATAGAGCCACATGTTTGCTGTGTGCCAGGCTCTGGGCTGAGCGTTTATCTGATAAGCCTTTGAGGCCAGTCGTCCTATCATTTTATGGAGGAGTAAAGTGAACAAGGTGGGCTGACTCCAGAGCCCATGCACTTGACCCTGCCCCATCCTCAGGAAACCTTCCCAGAGCCCCAAAGGGAACTCCCTCCTGCACTTGGTCAGGGCTCTGGGCTTTCTGTCCCCTGGAGCATAGACGTTTATGCCCATGGCCACCTCCCTCACCATGACTATGGTCAGCATTGAATGAAGCCATCAGGATCCTGAAACTGATAGGGTGACCCCGGATTGTGGGCAATCCTAGGAAGACTTAAGGGAGAGTCCCCTCGTAATTCAGTCTACTCTGAGTAGGGAACACTGTCAACGTCATGGGACTGTGACAAAAAAGCCTAAGATGGTTTTCTGGTTTGTTTGGGTTGTTTGTTTTGCCTACACTATCTGCTCCTGTTTTCATTTTCTCCTTCATTTAGGACTTAAAGATGGAAGAGGCTATGAGCAACACAGGTATTTCATTTTATTAAAGCCTAAAAAAAGTTCTTGTATCTTGACCCACCCTTCAGTCTCGTCTCTGTGAGGCTGCACCTGTTGAGAAACTTCCCTTCCTCTGGTCTACCCAGGAAGAAGTTGTTCTTTGGGTACAACTTCTTCTTTCTTGGTGATGGTTAACATTCATTCTCCTTTTGACACTTGAAAACTTAGGATGTTTCAGCGTCGGAAGTGGCCAGGAATGAGGAGACCTTCTTCCAGATCACCGTGAGTTGAGGAACCGGCTCACAAATAGAGATCTGGTTCTGACTGCTTCATTTTGCCAATGCTATTCTACGGGCATGCCATTTCTACTCATCACTCTTCATTTGCTCCCATAGTGAGGGTGGCGGGGAGGACGGGTACTAATGTAAGTCTTTCCCTAAGAAAACACGTGAGTCCATTTCGGGTTTTAGATTAATGCCTTGTCCAGTACGCTGCTGTTCTCGCTATAGTCTGTGTTTGGGAAACGCGAGCTGTTACTTCGAGTTGGGAAGCATTTAAATATTACAAATTGCCAGGCATCTTGAAGGCTATGGCTGCAAAAGTGCTAACTGGTACACAGCATCAGCAGTAGGATGGCCTCGTTAAATGGTTTCCAGAAAGCCCAGGCTACAAACTCTCACTCCAGTGCCACTGGAGGCTGGCAGGCACTAAGAGACTGGCAACCTGGAAAGGTCACCTCTATTCTAAGGGAGCAGGCCAGTTTGTTCCTGCAGGAATGGGCTGAGGTTTGCTAGATTTTCTAATTCATCAAGCAAATCCAAAGGTGCAGGGATGCGTGAGAACTCTTTAACACGGTCATCTAATTTGACATTAAGTTAGCCATGTGGACAAACGATCCCCCTTGGTGAGCTGCTGTTTGCAACCTCTGGACTACTCATTTCTTCCTTGATGTACATATAAACCTGTGTGGCTCTCACAGGACATTAACAGGCCAGCTAAAGCTTTCTCTGGTACTTCTAGAATTAAGGTACAGAATCTTTATATATCACAACCTTCTTAGCCACTATTCTATCCAGGCATTGAATGTTTAAGTAAACAACTAAAAATTGAGATGATTAGGTGGTAGCAATCACTTTCTTAGTAACCTAGAAATACTCATTCTCAGCAGCCACATCCTTGAAGCAAAGCTTCCTCAGTAAAGGACTGATTAGGAAGTCGTCATAGACAATGGTAACTAAATGCTAAGATGAGTTTGTTTGTTCTTCAGGGGACGACTGTGGGAAGGCTGGGAAGGTTAAGAAACAACAGAGGTGGACCTCCAAAAACAGAGGCGCCACCTGACTGCACAGGCAACGAAAAAGCATGTGGGTGATTTCCAGCAGGCCTCTGCTGATGGCCAGGCGGCTTGAGAAAGCAAGCCCTCACTCTCAGCCAACATGGCAGATTCTGGAGGATAACCAGCAGGAGGCAGAGAGAACTTCAGGAAGTCTATTTTTGCCCCTGCTTTTGCTTTGGATTATACCTCACCAGCTGCACAAAATACATTTTTCCCTATCAAAAAGTTCACCACTAACCTTCCCCCAGAAGCTCACAAAGGAAAATGAAGAGAGTGAGTGAGAGATTTCCTTGGAAATTTCCCTCCCCCAAGGGTGAAAGTCATTGGAATTTTTAAATCATAGGGGAAAAACAGTCCTGTTCTAAATCCTCTTATTCTTTGAGTTTGTCACAAAGAAGGAACTAAGACGCAGAAGAGAGGCAACGTGGAGAGGCTGAAAACTGCAGAGAGTTCGACAGTGAGTCAGTAGCACAAAAGAGATGACACTTAGCACCATAAACCCCGGTTGCCTCTGAAGAAACTGCCTTCACTGTATATATGTGACTATTTACATGTAACCAACATGGGAACTTTTAGGGGAACCTAATAAGAAATCCCCATTTTCAGGAGTGGTGGTGTCAATAAACGCTCTGTGGCCAGTGTAAAAGAAAATCCCTCACAGTTGTGGACATTTCTGTTCCTGTCCAGATACCATTTCTCCTAGTAATTTCTTTGTTATGTTCCAGAACTGATGTTATTTTTAAGAAGTTGATGTATGTCCCAAGTTTTGATCAAAAACTGTATTTGTAAAAAAAAAGAAAAATTTTGTAGTGTAAGTATTGTCATACAATGTTCAAAACCCCAGCCAATGACCAGCAGTTGGTATGAAGAAACCTTTGACATTTTGTAAAAGGCCATTTCTCGGGAGTTTTTTTTTTTTTTTTTTTTTTTCTTGGTGTGTCTGTCTGTTTTTTTTTTTTTTAAGTATTCAAGATACTGCCAATCAACACCTTTTTGGAAGAAAATGCCTTGGGTTTAGAACATTTTTTTAAAAGGGGAGTAGACGGTTGTAGATTAATGACTAAAGTCTACCATACTTCAAGGGACTTCACAGGTAAGTCTCAAACCAGCAGCTTTGGGACTTTTTTTTAAAAAAAGTATTAATTGCAAAGCAATTCACCTTGGCCAACCCTTCTTTGTGTATCAGGTGGTGTAACCTGATCCAAGTAGTTGTCAGATTTCCAGAATGGGAAAAGTAGAAACTATCACCAGTGCAGCCCATTTCTCATTTAACACATGACAGAGATGATAATCCCCAAAGTACTCACATTTTTTTCAATGCCCCACATTAGGCCACCACTCCCTGGCAGCACCCTAAGCTGTGCTTTAAACCTCTCAAACGGTTACCATTATTCGAAACAGGCTTCCTTAACCTCTTTTACCCTTAATCCAACAGGGATATATTTTTAAAAATGCTCTTTAGGCTCCAATTTTAAATAGAAACCTTTATTTACAATGACATCCAAAATGGTCAGCAAAGCAGTCGAAGCTTACCATTCCCCATAAGTCATTCATATGGTTTCGATTCTTTGCAGAATAAAGAATTTCTGTTTTTAAAGTAACACAATGTAAACTTGATTGAAACTGAATTCATTCTCAAGAGTATAAGTCAATTCCTGAGAATTTAAATATTGCTCTCAGAATGACATTTCCATCTTCTTTGAAATTCCATATATTAGAGGGAGAGAAAACACCCTGCTTGTCTGTATCAACAAGTGTGCCTTGGAGTTGAAAACAACTCTTGTTCCTCTGATTACATCAAATCCTTGAGGTTTCCTATGAACCTCCTAATTGCGAACAAAACTCACAGCTTCTGCAAATAAAAAGGGAACTGGGCAGTTATACATGTAACCAGCAATCCATTCTGTTCACTTTCAGCTGCCTCTACCTCTGGATCAAAGAACTTCTAGGACATCAAGCCAATTATCTTCTGTAATACCCTACCCCTAATACAGATACCCCCCAACTCACCTTAGATATTAAACACTGATAAACTAAGTAGCACTGTTGTTGATATTTACACCTTTCAATCCAGATGCAGTTTAGAAAAGTGGCATCATAATATGAACATTAACAATGTAACTTCCATTTATTTTTTTAAAGGAAGAAACATGTATCTCCTTTATATCTTTCTGATCTTTTTATAAAACATATATATTTTTTATTTATATATCTTTGGATTCAGCAAAAATAAAAAAAGTAGGTACTGGAAATATCCCACATTCTAAAAGCAGATGAAAAGATTATTCTGTTCACCCAACAGATACGAAGGTTTGAAAAAATGGGAGGTGCGGGGGTGTGAGGAGAGGTAGACAGCAGGAGTACAAAGAATTATCTAAAAAAGATAAAGGGCAATACAGGTAAAAACAAATTATCTCAAAGACTGCACCTAGTAAAAGAAAATATCTTGAGTTTGCACCAATCAAATGAACAAGTAGAAAATATAAAAACTTATAATAAACTTCATTTTTCCACTATATAAAAAAGGGAGTGCTGCCTTCCAGTAAGCCTGGAGCCAGGTTTAAGGAATTTTTTAAAGTCAAGAAAGGTAAGAGCACCAATCTATTTCTCCCCACACACATAACTCAAAGAAGGTTCAGACGCAATTGACCTGAAATACATGAGACAGACTAACTGGGCTGTGCCTCTGTCTCCACACAGGAGCACACACCATCTGGAAAGCGCAGGCCACTACCATGGAAGTTTTGGGATTTACACTCTTAGATGTGGTTTGAACTTGGTGGGGGGAAGAAGGCAAACTCATAATTGTCTACACTGTTTTGAAAATCCACTCTAGTGGTGGGTCTGGAAATACCAGGATTCACTTATTTGTAAGCATATCAAAGATATTAAATGATCTTACCTTCAGAGACATCTAGAAAGATTGGCTAAATGTGTGAAACTTTACAAAAAAATTAATGGCTCTCAGTTATTGCTAGAAAATGACACCAAGGCTAGCAGAGACCTTTGAAATTCATAGACATTCAAAAACCCAATTCTTTCAACTATTTGGACCAAATGAAGTAACCCAGATAAAGGGAATTAAATTTGGTTTTTCCCTTACTCCCAACTGACTAAAATAGTTGTCAAAGGGAGGCAAGAGCAGAAAGTGGCCAGGGGCAGAAGAGGGAGGGGTTTAAAAGGTGCTCAATTAGACTGGTTCTCAATCACAGTAAAACTGACTGTTCTGGGTACTGAGTTCCTTAAGAAGTAACAGTGACACTATTCTAATTCACAGGGATATTATGAAAGAATCACATTAGTAGAATGAGGGATAGCTGAGCAGACACCAGAAACCACACCAAGATTCTACTCAAGATCTCAATGTGGGATTCAGGTCTTAGCAACCGAAACCCAAGAACACTCCTAAAGGGGATGAAAAGGTAACATAATTGAACACACACAAACAAATCCCATGAATTGCTGCTATTTAACTTACAGACTGCTTAAAATCCAAAAGATTCTCTTTTCAGTCAAATTGCTTGATTTTTTTGAATTCCTGATACCTTTTCTTTTTTTATTTCCCTGTATCTATTCGTTCCCCCCAAATTAACAAAGTGCTTAGTTCTGGTAGAGGAATTTTTTAAAAATTAAAATGCCTACATCTAAACAAATCTCTTTAAAAAGGATTTATACGAAGAGATTGAAAGAGTGAGACATCTAAGGCTGAGGGCTGGGGAAGGAAAAGCTGCGGAGCACCATCCCTCCCCCAGGCCACAGAAGTCAAGGGATGTCTCTTCCATTGGCAGCCTTACCACACAGCTTACTGAAATCAACAATTTTAAATATTTGCTTCACAAACTCTGTAAAAATGAGTTGTTGTGACCTACAAAAAAGGTATATACATATTTTACATAATACAATATTTTAAAGGTCGTATTTACACAAAAAAAATCTATTCACAGAAACACTTCGAGATTCTGATTCAGAATGCAGTACCTGGCCTTGGGTTTTCAGAAGTTTTCAAAAAGCATTATTGCTCTACCATATAGGCAAAGGGTGACACCAGTACTTAAAAAAAAAAAAAAAAAAATTCATAGTTCTTGTCCAACACGTAAGTGTAGGCAAAAACCAGGAATGTGTTTCACTATTCCCTCAAGACCTCAAGAACATTGCATTTATCTATTACTTTTTAAATAAAGTGCACTCCGCTGCACATTAGCATGTGAAAAGTTTGCTACTGCTGCAATTAAATACTGTCATCTCATTTTCCCTTCTGCAAAGCTGTTGGACATCAATGACAGTTCCTGGAGGTGAAGTATTACAGGACATGAGCGGCAAATGAAAACCTTCATTAGGAGAAAGCCTAGGACAACAAATAACAGAGAAAGAGCAACTCAACACCATCAGGAAAGGCCAATTCAGAATCACCAAGTCCACTGGACAAAGGGTCAACACAGAACTACTTGGTAGTGACAAGAACACTTGAAGGCTGGGACTATGCTCTTAGTCCAATACTGCAACTAGCAAAAGCAGATGTTCTAATCTCTAATTTCTTCCAATGTTCTCTGGCCCACCTACATGGATTTAAAAGACTTTGGCTAGCAAGGCAGAAAAAAGTGACACAAAAGTTTTATGATCAGTAACACGCCACATTTCCAGAATTATATCCCTAGGAGGTGGAATGCCAAAAACATTTCTTTTTGAACACCATGATATGTAGGAGCGCGGGGGGAAATACGCAGATACTGCAGTTCGGCTTAAAATCCAGTCCTGCTCGAATGACATCAGTTAAAATGCCCTTGACAGAGCTCAAAGCTGGCTTTCTTCAAAAATGGATGCCCGGAACATGGTATCTTCCCAATAATCCTAGTGCAGTGTCATTTGTACAGTGGTTTCCTTAGAGGTCCTGGTGCAGAGACGTCAGCAGTATTTCTGTTAGCAACCAGAAAAAAGCTGGGTAAAACACATGCTTTGCACAACAAAAAAATGTCCATGTCCACATTCATGGCTTTTCAGGTTCCTTAGATCCCATATTACCAAAAGTATCTAGTGGCCCAATACCTTCAAACCAATGGGTTTTTTAAATTACTGTAGTTTTAAGTTATAAATTCAAGTTAAAATATACCTAGGACCTTTTGATTATAGCTGAGGCTTTGGTTCTAACCACAGAACAAGACAAACTTTTTGAAAATGGTAAGCAACAGACCCCATACCTGATCAGGACCCATAGGCATGCCGGACATGGGCATGGGGTTCATGGTCATTGGCCCCATGTGGCCGCTGCTGCCGTTCATGTGCACCATACTATACACTGCAGGATTCCCCTGGTGGGCAAACTGCTGCTGGGAAAAGGAGCTGTGAAGAAACTGTAATGTTACCTCTGGAAGGCATTTTGGCAACAAAGGGCATGCCCACAGAAACTATCACAATTGTGCCAAACATTGCTATACTGAAGCTGGGAATGTCAGAGAGAAAACTCCCTGACAGCCTGTGATCCATTTTTCACAGCTTTCTGTACTCGATACCCTAATAGATGTGTGCATGGTATGAAGGACTCTCAAAATGGACAAGCCAAAGAACACATCTTCTAATATAAATCCAGTCCTTTCAATCTCTCCATCCAAAAAGGCTTGACTGAAAAATATAGTAATTCTTGGACTTCTGGGACTAAGATGTGACTAACTTTAGAAGTACTATTCTTTACCTGTTCCTGGCCAAATTTCCTGAAGGCCAGCCCTTCATTTCTGAGGACTGATACATGGATGCAGCCTGGGGGTGTTGCATCATGGGATTCTGGGAGGGACCCATTCTTGACGACATCATTGCATTGGGAGGACTAGACACTCGACCAAAGCCTGGATCTGGTGGTTGTCCAATTCCTTACAAAAACAAAGAAAAAAGAAATAAAAATGTCCAAATGCCTTCTCCTTAAAATATCAGATTTATGCAGTAACTTTTTTTTAAGGGGGGGTGTAGGGAAGTGATAAGTATAAGATACAGAGTGCTATAAGATGCTGCCCCCCAGTTATTCTGCATTCTCACCAAGAGGACAACTAGAGTACAGGCTTACTACAGAAAGGAGCACCGTATCTAGATCACTGAAAGGTTAGTTGCTTCAATGGGCTTTCTGTAGAAAAGGGACTCCTTATCACTCAGCTCCCACCATTCTGTCCCTCTTTAAAGTGCAGGGGAGTTATAATCTTCAGAGAACAGGGCTCCCCAGTAGACACCTTTATCCCCACCATGTTCCTGGAACCTCTCAAAGGCTGAACTGAAGGGGTATCTGGATTACTGTAATTGATAAATCCAAGTCACCAAGAAAATCAACTTAACAGCCCACAAAGTGCATTCCTCTGACTTCACCAAGCATTCAGAGATTAGAGAGTTCTACTATACTGGAACATATATGAAGGAGCAAGGGGACAGTTCTGCAGTGTTTCTTCCAAATTAAGAGTTTGGAGACTCAGTAAGTGGGACTGGCCAGGCGCGGTGGCTCACGCCTGTAATCCCAGCACTTTGGGAGGCCAAGTTGGGTGGATCACGAGGTCAAGAGATCGAGACCATCCTGGTCAGCATGGTGAAACGCTGTCTCTACTAAAAATACAAAAAATTAGCTGGGCGTGGTGGCGTGTGCCTATAATCCCAGCTACTCAGGAGGCTGAGGCAGGAGAATTGCTTGAACCCAGGAGGCGGAGGTTGCGGTGAGCCGATATCGTGCCATTGCACTCCAGCCTGGTTAACAAGAGCAAAACTCCATCTCAAAAAAAAATGGAACTGAAAAAAATACTCAACTACGGCAGGATACACCCGCCTCAATTACCCATGTGCTGCAGCATTTTTGTTTTCCAATAGTTTAAATTAATTTGGTTTTCCTTGTGAAGTAAACAGGGAGTGAATAGTATTTTTGTTTGTCATGTTCAACAGGCATAGTGAAGCTTATGTCCTTAGTAATGTTAACTTGGGGAAGGCATATTTTCACTATCAGATTTACCATAATTTGGTTGATATGTAAACTGCTGTGGTGGAGGTTGTGGCATTGCAGGTCCAGCCAAAAGCCCATCCATGCTGGGGGAAGCAGTCACATTAGGAGGTGGGCTGAAGGCCTGGGTTTGCTGCTGCTGTTGCTGTTGCTGCTGCTGCTGCTGCTGCTGTTGCTGCTGCTGCTGCTGCTGCATCATCATAGCCACCCTCTGCTGTCGGAAGTGATGACTTAGAAGCTCTCTGCTGCGTTGGGCGACCATTTGGGCATTAAGAAAACCCTGCTAATACCCAAAGAAGAGTGCAATTACATAGACATATAGCAAGAACCTGCCAGTTAAATACATATAGTACTCCACAATACCACCAGGTATAAGACAGAAAACACCCAGTGCCTTTCTTTTTCCCCCCCACAAAGGGAAAGAAAAAAATATTTTTTTTGTCCCCACAAAGGGAAAGAAAAAACCAATTTAAAAAAAAAAAAAAAAAAAACAGCGTCTCACTCTGTTGCCCAGGCTGGAGTACAGTGGCATGATCTCGGCTCACTGCAACCTTTGTCTCCTGCATTCAAGTGATTTTCCTGCCTCAGCCTCCCAAGTAGCTGGGATTACAGGAGGGCACCAACAGTCCCGGCTCATTTTTGTATTTTTAGTAGAGATGGTGCTTCACCATGTTATCCAGACTGGTCTCAAACTCCTGACCTCAGGTGATTCGCCCGCCTCAGCCTCCCAAAGTGCTAGGATTACAGGCGTGAGCCACTGCACTGGCCAAAATATACAATTCTTTACATAAAAGCTTTCCAACCAGGTGAGGTAGCTCACACCTATAATCCCGGCACTTTGGGAGGCCGAGGCAGGCAGATCACTTGAGGTCAGGAACTCGAGACCAACCTGGCCAAAATGGTGAAACCCTGTCTCTACTAAAAATATAAAAACTAGCCAGGCATGGTGGGATTGCAGGAGTGTCTATAATCTCAGCTGCTCAAGAGGCTGAGGCAGGAGAATCCCTTGGACCTAGGGAGTGGAAGCTGCAGTGAGCCGAGATCATGCCACTGCACTCCAGCCTGGGCAAGAGACTGTCTTTTTTTTTTTTTTTTTTTTTTTTTTTTTTTTTTTTTTTTAAAGCTTTCTGGCTATTGCAGGGGAGGGGAAGAACTGAAGGGACCTGAAAATTATTTGAGGTTAGAAGACAAAAGATGACACGCTGTCAAGCTTTAACATGGCTAGAAACACTGCACGAAGTTAGAGAACATTTGGGGTAGAACCTGAGGACAAATAACTATGAGAGAAAAATACAGGAAAATGAGGATTCAGTGTGTTTGGGTGGTGGAGAGATGAAACAAGAAGCCAAAAAGTAAAAAGGATGAGGTTATATTCAGATAAGCAGAGGTCCACCTCGGAAAATCTTGCACTTTTTTTAAACTTTCACAAAGAGGTAGGGGCAAGGAGAAGCTGTCTGTAGGTTCAGAAAGTGACATAACCAAAGTACAGCAAGGAAACTGTACTGGGCTCCACCAGCTGTGGATCATCTCCAAAGAGCAAACTTTTACCTTCTTTTTGTAGGGCATTCTAGCTCAGCTTACATAAGATATTTTATTATCAAGATCATATAAATATCAGTACTTCCAAGTACGCATAAGACAATGAAAATCGAGCATTTCAGTTGTTTTTTTAAAAAAACAATTATGAACAATATTTCGAATCACAGGAGTGGATTGCTGTGTGGTCATCTGTCTCACGCACATTAAGAAAACCCGTCAACACTGTCTCCACCACTGGCTGGAAGTGGAAAGGAATTATAATATTCTACTTCAGGAAACAGGTCATCTCAGAGGCTATCACTAAGAACATGATTATGTATTCTTTATTTTCTTCTTCGTAATCTCAGAATTTTACCCAGTGAGCATGTTGTTTCATAATCCAGGAACAGAGGAACATTTACAGATTTATTATTTTAAATTCCTAAAAAGCCAAGTGATAGCAACTGATCACAAGGGGAACCAATTTAAAAAACACTAATCAATGGTTTTAACAAAGAAACCTCTCCCTCCTCTGATTCCTCCCAGTCATGAGCCAGAGAGAAGAATGGAAGAGTTGAAAAGTCTTTAAAGCAACTGCTTTCTTACATAAGAAATTCAGAATTACCTTCATTTGTTTAACACACATTTACTGAGAGCCAACGACAGGCCAAGCCCTGTGCTGGGCACAGAGCAATGTATGTGGAGAGGCTCATCATCCTCACCTGGGAGCTCACCTGGGGCTGCATCATAGGCCTCATCACCGCAGCGCCACCAGCAGTCGGGTTTTCCATTTTCAATTCAAGTGCCTGTCGGCTCTGATTCAAAAACTGAGGTGAGACAAGCTGGTCAGAATGCAAGTAGAGCATGTCAGTCTGCCAAAACAGCTTTCCAAACCCTCAACACCAGCAAATGAGGTAATGATATCTCCAAACACAATAACCTGGCTAAGTCACATCTAAACTAAACCAGTACTTTCACACTGCATAAAGGTCCATGTTGAAACATCTTTGGCTAGCGTAAGAAGGGCTACTGTTTGGCATTGGGAGAATAAAGCGAAATTTTGCAGCTTAAACAGTACCTTCACACCTGTCATTCCAGCACTTTGAAAGGCTGAGGTGGGTAGGTCACCTGAGCCCAAGAGTCTGAGACCAGCCTGGGCAACATGGTGAATCCCATCTCTACAAAAAAATACAAAGAATTAGCCAAGAGTGGTGGCACGCTCCTGTAGTCCCAGCTACCTGGGAGGCTGAGGTAAGGGGATCACCTGAGCCTGGGAGGTTGAGGCTGCAGTGAGCTGTGACTGCACCACTGCATTCTGCCCTGAGACCTTGTATGAAAAAATAATAAATTATATACACACACACACACACACCAGAAGCTCAAAAGATTTTAAAGCCAGGCTTTCTCTGGGATTATTCAGGCATGGGGAAATAGCTTTTACTTGATCAGAGTAATTCTGAATAATCTGCTTCCTCCATTAGCTTTCCCTAAATGACTTTTAGTGAAAACAAACAGCAAAAAAGTAAAATGAACCCATTAACACAGCTTTTCTGAGTACCTAAACTGACTTTTTGGAATATTTATTCAATGGAGAGTCTCTAGATCTTTGGATTCCAAACTCAGGCATTTGGCTGCACACAGAGGCTCACACCTGTAATCCCAGCACTTTGGGAGGCTGAGGCAGGAGGATCCTGAGGTCAGGAGTTGAGACCAGCCTGGCCAACATGGTGAAACCCTGTCTCTACTAAAAATACAACAACTAGCGGCACATGCCGGTAATCTCAGCTATTCAGGAGGCTGATGCTCAAGAATCACTTGAACCCAGGAGATGGATGGAGGCTGCAGTGAGCCGAGATCTGCACTCTAGCCTGGGCAACAGAGCAAGACTCCACCTCAAAACAAACAAACAAACAAAAACAAAAAACCCTCAGGCATTCATCTACTTACATGGTTTGGTTCCACCACATTTAGTAACTCAGTATGCTCAAGACACAAACAATAAAAACAGTTTTAAAACATTTCTTGCGGACTAACAGTAGGGTAAACAGAAGTCATATTTCAGAATATTAAAAGACAGCTCTAGTTTTATAAAACATCTAGAAAGAAGAGATTCCATTAAAAATGCTGAAATCAAGAAAATTTAAGTATTTGGTTACTAATATTAAGGATTTTTTCCAAAACAAAATTATCTGCCTTTAAGACTACAAAGTCAGCAAGTAACATTTTTCTTCCCTCAAGAGCAACCCTTCCTGACATTTTTCTTTCTAACCTGTACAATGGAATATTCTCATAGAAAGTACAGAATTCCAATACAACTACTCCTTAACGAGCAGACATCTGCACAAATAAAACCTTACAGAGAAGCAAAACAAAAAGAATTTCTTTAGTTGACAAGGGATAGAGTACACTAGTGGTAAGAACTCTGAGAATAGTC